TACCAATAGGAATGTTGTTCCTAGGTTCCTTCCTTCCTCAGTCATTTAGTTATTACATGAATTTCAACTTTGTATCGACTAAATAGCAAGAAATAAAGACAGAATTATTTCAGAGGCAAAACGTTCGAGGCTGGTTGGCGCTCTCTAATATTGTGTTTCAACATTGGGTCACCACACACACACACACACACACACACACACACACACACACAGTCTTATATACCACAATGCAGTCCTGGTCTGGATGTTGTCCAGACCCTAACGTTATGTAGCAGCACTACACAAGCTAGTAGAGTGGTTAAACAATATCACTACAATCATTTATGCCCATCTGATGCTGTATTCTTTCTTTGTTTCTGATCAGCAACCCTCTCTCAGAGATACTTGCGGTAAGATCGCCACCCTGAACTATATATCATCTAATATAGTATGTATAATCTTATAACACAGTCTAACATTATTGGCATAGCAAAGCTGCCAAAAAGTTTGATCACAACACATTTGGTTCACTTGAAGCCTGAGTGGACATTGGGGTTTTAAAAGTTCAATCCCTGCTAACCACTTCCATCCATCCATCCATTTTCTATACACCGCTTATTCCTCACTAGGGTCGCGGGGGGGGCTGGAGCCTATCCCAGCCGACTCAGGGCGAAGGCAGGGGACACCCTGGACAGGTCGCCAGTCCCTGCTAACCACTTAGTCTTGTCAATTCTGTTTCATGTTTCTCTACCTGCAGGCTGCCCAGGTTGCTGTTGTGGTGGTCCTCTAAGTCATCCAGCTGCCTCTTCAGTGAGTTTCTGGTGCTGGGGACAAGCCTCCAAATCCGCCATCTTGGACTGCAGCTGGTGATGTTGGCCCTTGATCTGCTCTCAGGAAAATCAGCTTACAGTTGGAGGGTCACTCCCACCACAATGCAAAGAAATCAAAAGTACTGTACTGCTTTTTGAAGTATTACAGGAGCTGAAATGTTTTCTGTGAATATTAGCAAGAAAGTGGTAAAATGTGCCAAAAGTAAAAAGTAGTAAAATATAAATCTTGAAATTTAAAAATAATATTTTTCATTTTTAGCATTTACATTAAAGGGGGGAATCTTGGTTTTATGAGGTTACAGTAGTTATTAAACTCATGCAGAAGGTCATATAGACCAAATAAGCCTGGTCAGGATGTCAGTTTATAAAAATTGAAAATGATGTCCTTGACTTTAAAATGGTGAACACAGTTTTAGTTTACCCTGTTAACTGCTTAATAACAGATTTTACCAAAGAAATAGTTTTAACCAAGACAGTTGTCTGTCCTGCTGCAGCAAAGTGTTTCTTTCTTTAAAAGTGCATAAAAAGGAGTCAGTTCACAGTTCAACTGTTGACTAAACACACACCTCTTCCTCTTTTCCCACCACAATTATTCATCAGGACAAATCATTCCTTTTACTGTCAACCAATGACAAACACAGTATGCCGGATATAGCTTAAGGTCAAAGGTTGGGAAGAAAAGCCAAAAGTGCATTTAAGTAAAAACACGTATTTTTTTTTAACAACAAGTAAAGTCACCAAAAAACTACCTGAATAGCAAGGATCTTTGAAAGAAAAAAAAAACAAAAAACACTGACATATTTATTCTTCCTTTTCATGCAGATGTGACTGCACAGTTTGACCTCAGATAAAGACGCAAACATCCATCCATCCATTATCTACAAACCGCTTAATCCTCACGAGGGTCGCGGGGGGGCTGGAGTCTATCCCAGCCGACTTAGGGCGAAGGCAGGGGACACCCTGGACAGGTCGCCAGTCCATCGCACTGAGAGACAGACAACCAAGCACACTCACATTCACACCTACGGACAATTTAGAATCACCAATTAACTTCAACATGTTTTTGGACTGTGTGGGAGGAAGCCAGAGAACACAGAGAGAACCCACGCTGCACGGGGAGAACATGCAAACTCCACGCAGAAAGATTCCGGTGCCCCCACCGGGACGCGAACCGGCAACCTTCTTGCTGCGAGGCAACAGTGCTACCAACTGCTCCACCCTGCAGCAGGATGCAAACAGTAAACCTCTATTTATTTATTTATTTATTTATATTTATATATGTAGTCCTATAAAATAAAAGTCTTTTCAGCTTATGTTTGTGAGCACACATTTTTAAGTGACTCACCTATTTCAACTGTATTAAGGCCCAATATTCTGAATAATTAGAAGTTTGGCTACTTTGACAGACAGGTGGCTGCTGTCACACGACAGTCCACGGTCTACAGACATTTGCATGGCCTGCTTTAGCTCCACTCACGCTCCACCTCTTTGTTTGTTTTTGGATTGACAAGGAATTAGGTGCAGTACGGCACTGTCAAGTTGGAGAGGGCCAGAGCCACAACACTGAACTTCAAAACCGCTGGTTTCACTTTGAACAGAGGCAGTAGGGTGTATACTGTATGTGGCAGAGTAACAGAGCACCAACAGATAAGCGTACCAAACTCTTTACACAATGTGCTTGAACTATAACTAAAAGCACAATAATGAATGTGTTCAAATGTAAGTAAAAGCAACGAGTTTTCTGTATACATCTCTTACTTCAACAAGTACAGTGTACTCAAACGTTACCTTAGTACACATTAGAGCCAATTAGTGCTTTCCATGACCATGTGTGCAGACTTCAAAAGTAGACACACGACTCTGTTCATACTCTATGTTCACAGCAGTCTGCACAGACTGATATCGAACACAGAGCTAGTACATGTGGTGGTGGGAAAGTTCTCTGTGGTTAAATCATGTGTCGTCTGGGCTCCCCAGTAGCTCAACCGGATAAAACGCCGACCCATGTACAGGGCTATAGTCCCTGACTCAGCAGCCGCGGTTCGAGTCAGACCAGAGGCTCATTTGCTGCATGTCGTTCCCTCACGCTCTCCCACGTGTCTCTGTCTCTCTTCACTGTCCTGTATGATAAAGGCAAAAAAGAAATAAAAAATCCTGTGACTTCCCGTATTCTGCCTTGCTCTGATTCACTACAGCCTTCAGTTATTCTGCTAAACCTTGGTAAAACTACCGGAAGTACAATTTCATTTCCAGTTTTCAGTGTTGATTTTCCAAAGAACCGTCTGATGAAATGAAATGTTCTTTCACAAGGATACAGTCACACAGGATGCGTTCAAGCACACAGGATGATCAAGACTCTTTTTGATACTAAGTAGGCATTTATTGTGATGCTTCATGATCTCTTTCTGTGTGGAAGGGTCACGCACACCTTGTGTAAAAAATGTAAATAGAAGACTGATCTGTTTTTATGCAATGCAGAACTCACAGTGCATACACACCACCTACGTGGTGGAGCCAGTTCCATTGATCGAGTCCACCTATACTATGTGTTCAGTGTAGCCACAAGGTAAGATTTTTAAGGATACTTTCACTCTATTCAAACTGAGCAAATTTTTGGATATGTTAACTTCGCACTGTTGACCTCTATCGTAAACATTCAAGGAAACATACTGTATAAGGGCAAAAGTACAACGTCATCAAAATTTGCTCTTCAGAAGGTCGCACTGATGTACAGACACAGAAACAGACTGTCAGCAGTCTGAAGGCTTCCTGACTGTAACTGTTACACAATGCTTTACCCAGTTAACTGATTTGTTCTTTAGAATCTGAATCATGTTTAAACCGCAATTAGAGGTTCATTCTGATTTTCCATTTCTGCCTGTTATGCAGCAAAAGGGCAAATCATAGTGATGAAGGGAACAATGGATTTAAAACTACACTTATACACACAACCCGAAAAGCCTGAATGACAGAAAGTAACAGAGATTCGCTGTTGTGAACTTGTTTTGTATTTTCAATATCTGTCTCTTCTATTATTTACTGGAGCCTATCCCATCTGACTTAAGGTGAAGACAGGGTGCATCCTGGACAGGTCACCAGTCTATCACAGGAGATTCAAACCCAGGACCTTCTAGCAGTGAGGCTAACCACTGCACACTGCCCTGCATCGGATATTCTCCTAAAAAGATAGTTTCACCTGTTTCAGTACTTTGGTCATTTGACCAACTGAAATACTCACCCGATAGGTTTAGCAACTTTTAATTATAGTGTATTTCAAAGAACAAAACTAAATGTTTGTTGATGGTCTTCAAAGGGAGTAATGGCACAGGTGATGGTGAATGCCCAGTTGGAATTTGTTAAATCATTCAGTCGGGAGGGCACCGGAATCTTTCTGCGTGGAGTTTGCATGTTCTCCCCGTGCAGCGTGGGTTCTCTCCGGGTTCTCCGGCTTCCTCCCACAAGGTCCAAAAACATGTTGAGGTTAATTGGTGATTCTAAATTGTCCGTAGGTGTGAATGTGAGTGTGCTTGGTTGTCTGTCTCTAAGTGTAGCCCTGTGATAGACTGGTGACCTGTCCAGGGTGTCCCCTGCCTTTGCCCTAAGTCAGCTGGGATAGACTCCAGCCCCCCCCGCGACCCTCGTGAGGATTAAGCGGTGTGTAGATAATGGATGGATTCAGTCGGGATCAGCCATCGTATTTGACATACTCAGGAGTGACACAAGCTTTGTGACAGTATAGGAAATAGTAAACAAAAAGTAGCTGATACTGTGAAAATTATTATTTTAGATTTATATTTTTTCAAACACCACAAAAATAACTGCAGCTATGATCACAGATTAAGCTAGAGGCTCCCTCCAACAGACACCCCACACCCAAATCCACCACAACAAGTCTGTCTGTGAAATGTACTAAGTATAGCAATACAGATGATTGCCCAATGCTAGAGTACGTGTTGTAAGTGCGAGTCTGACGAGCAGTACTTGGAACACACACTGTGCTACAGTAAACAGCTGAGTGTGCAAGTGTTAGCGGATGGGTTATAACAGCTCAACCTCTTCCTCTTAACCAGACGTAAAATACTGTAGAATTATGACGATGGTATATTTGAAAGAATTACAAAAAAGTTGTGGCTGCATGACGTGGCAGGAAGTGCCAACGCTAATAAAATTCTCTGCTCTCCACAATCATCAGCACACCTCCTATACTCTTTGTGAACAATGCATGGATTGTGTCTCTGGCTGTAAGACGTTTTAGAAGACCCCAACAATGAGGATCAAGTTTATAGCTGTCGTGCTCCTCTTTCAAACGTCACAATGCTTGGCGTCAGACGGTACAGTATTCCAACGTTTTATTTTAAGCTTTTTTTCTGAGGTTTTTACACAGTAGCTCACGTATATTGCACGGTACACCTACCTGTGTGTCAGACTGTCATAACCTTCACCAAATTGATGTAGATTTGTAACGGTGTTATTTTGAGGTATATGTGATTATTTTATGATGAGAACTTTTTCTAAATTAATTTCTTTTTAGTCTGTGAATGATTCAGTCACATTGTCCATGGAATAGGAAATCAAATAAGACAGAGATGAAACAGCTCTATTGAAAGATTTTCTGGTTTCTTCTGCAATATAACCTAAACTGAACTGTGTTGAAACATGCTCTCTCTGCAGATTCACCATTTGAACTAACTAACAAGGCCACTGGTTTTTGTTTGTTGAAAAAATACCACCTCTGCGTTGAGATACAGTGGACAACTGGTGATCGACTTCTTTCTAGCTGGTTGAATAAGTGCCTTGGAGCCGAGGGGAATACTGTGGGGAGTGGAATAAGCCTCTATGACTGTAATGAAAGCAGTGAACTCCAAAGGTGGGAATGCAGGAATGAAACACTGCTCGCCCTCAAAGGCCAAGAGCTTTACATTGAGCTCACTGCAGATAACACAGCTGTTCTCTCCAAAACCACGGGACCCAATAACCACCTCACAATTTCAGGGACGTCCAGTGGTGCTTGTTCAAGAACATACAGAGGTATGAAACACAGCAATTCATGGTTATTTTTTTTTAGTATTAAAGTCTATAGTGGGAATAATAAGACTGGCAGTTTTACAGATTATGTTTTAAAATGTGAGGTTATATATATCAAACATATACATTTTTAAGGAGATTTCCAATATACGTTAGCTTTAACCAACAGGATGGCAAACTAGTACTAATGTCTTTGAATTTAGTGTTTAGTACCAAAGCACTCGTGATGTTATGATAGTTTCAGTGAAATTACGATGAGGAATTACAATTTTGAAAATAATTTACAATCTCAAGTTGTTAAGCAATCTGTCATAAATGATTATAAAATGCCTGTCACTTTAGGTGCAGCTGTGCTCTGATTAATCAACATCATTTTTTGTTTTGCTCTTTCATTCTTGTCTTGGTCTTTCAGAATATTTCACCCTAGAAGGAAATGCGTTTGGAAAGCCCTGCATGTTTCCCTTTATGTACAAACAGCAGTGGTACTCAGAATGCACAACAGTCGAGTCCCAAGATCAGCGTCTTTGGTGTGCAGTTGAGACAAAATATGAAAATGAGCTGTGGGGTTACTGCCCAACTAACTGTGAGTACTGACTGTAAGAACCATACTACCATACTGTAGGAGAAGGGAACATGTGCGTGTATAATAAATGAAACAGTGATGGCCTTCACAATAATAACACTCATAAAATCAGAGAGTAACTGGATTTAGACCCAGCACAGATTTACATTCATGTTGGCCTCTGAAATGAAATGTTGACTTGACTAGATGTGACATTAAAATGTTTCTAAATACATCTTTATGTTCATGTTGTGTGTGTTTCACAGCTAAAAAGAACTGGAACAAAGACGTTACCACAGGAGCAAATTATCAGCTCAACACACAGTCAGCTCTGACATGGTCCCAGGCTGATGCCAGCTGCAAACAGCAGAGTTCCTCTCTGCTGAGCATCACCAGTCCTCACGAGAAGGCTTATATCACAGGTACAGATGGTTGTTATCCCATCGTTGATGCACTGCTAAAGCAGGTGATAATGGTTTGAGCCTCACGTGTTATTTTTGCTTTCATGCTCCTTTTTTTAAACACTCACAGCACTACTAGGTGGAGGACAGGAGTACAAGCTTTGGACTGGACTCAACCTGAATTCAGAACATGGCTGGCAGTGGTCTAGTGGGAGGCCGTACCGTTACCTGAGTTGGGACTCAGGTAGGGTTTTTTTTGTTTTTGTTTTTGTTTTTTTCCCCCACTTCTGTACTTTCTGTTGCTATTCTTATAATACTAAAAATAAACTTTAGCTCTGATTTATCCCATCTGCCTTCTTTTAGTTACAGTCAGTTATAAACTAGAGATCATTTGCATCAGTACCCTACAAACCCTGCAGGGGTCCCAGTTACACTGCTAATATTTCTGTAGGGTCATCCCACTTCAGTTCATCAAATTTTAATAGAAGTTCACATGTGACCATTTCATATTTATTAGATTTTTTTTCTCTCTCTCTCTCTATATATATATATATATGTTAGTAACAAGTGCAAAATGTTTGGTTACAGGTATTGTCACTTTTTGAGGTAAAAATTCTTGAAGAAAATCAGGTCATGTTGACTTTTGCAATGTTTTCTCTGAGCCAATAAATGGAGAAATGTTTGACGTGCCATAACTTGAGAAAAAATTTTGACTAGAGTCCTGAAGTTTTGCAGGCTTATTGATATGTACATATGATCTTTGATGGTAGAATTCTGCTTTGATAGAACGATACAAACCAGTTATATGATGTTGAAAATGTGGTCAAATAATGTTAGTGTTTCTGTTCACCACAAGAAGCTGAATTTTACCTTATGAGAAAAAAAATGAATAAAGTTACCTTTGCATTTGTGGCCAATGTTAGGAGAAAAAATTAGCAGGTATGACAGATGAAACCACTCCAGTGGTGTCCCAATTGGAAGAGTTACATCAAATCTTCACTGGTCGAAAAGAAAAATCATGATTTCCCAACTCAGTGCTGCCAACAACTTTATGAAAAGTTGTACAATAAGCATTATGTCAGACATATATACATTTACTTGTTTTTGATTATTTGATTGGATTATTATTTTTAAATCAAAATCTGTTTTAATTTATTATAACCTTGTTAGCAAAGAGTTAGTCACATAGAAACACTGTGTTGGGAAAGAAAGGGAAACAAATCACAAGATTGTTATCATGACATCTCCATTTCCAAACCTCTGACCTTTAGATCTTTGTTTAGCAACTACACAACAAAAAGGCCTGTGGTACTGGGTAATAATTTGTTTAAATTGGACTCGGACACATCTGACTACCATGAGTCAGTGTCATCATCCTAATTCCAACCATCATCTTGTTCTAGGACATCCACTTTCGAATCCAGGGCATGTCTGTGGAGTCATTGATGGTGCTGTACAGTATTCCTGGCAAAGTTCAAAATGCGATAAGAACCTGGGCTACATTTGCCACAGTATATCCATTTCAGCTCCTCCAACTGAAGGTAAAAGGAAAAAGTCATTTTCTTTCAAGCCAGAGTATTGCTGTTCAGAGTTTACAAACTGTATGATCTCAGACATTCTGTTTCTTTGATTCTATTTATTTGCTCTTTTCGTAATCAGCTACTGAGGCTAGATTTTGTTCAGCACCCTGGATTCCCTACAATGGCCACTGCTTCCACCTTAATCGTACTCAGAAAACATGGTCTGATGCTAAGTTAGCTTGCCGTAAGGAAGGAGGGGACCTTGTGAGCATCCGCAACGTGGAAGACCAAAGCTTTGTCATCTCTCAGCTTGGATATGGTACGGCACCAACAAACAGTTCATTTGTGAGCCCCCTGGCCTTTCCTCTGGTACCATCCTTTGGAAAAAAAGTACTTTTAGAAACCTTCTTCTTAGTAGTTTCTGTACACATACTAGTGACTGACATATTTGCTTCCATTGTCCTTCAACTGTTCAAAATGAAAGTCAGTGGTAAAATGTAACTGAGTGCATTTGCTGTACTTAGGTACCATTTTAAAGCCTATATTTGAGTACTTACATTTTATGTTAATTTGAATTTGTACTCCACTTTCAAAAGATAATATTGACATTTTTTTAATCATTCATGACAGCTTTTTAAAATTTCAAAATTTCACATTTAAACACTTTAAGGGTTAAAGTAGTGTTTCCCAATATTCCCAGCTTTACAAAAACAGCATAGTTGTAGTTATGTTTCGTTGTTATGTTTCACATGTATGAGCTGTGGTCTGTCCCACCAAGAAAAACATATCACGTCTCTCTTCGGTTTAATCTAGAATGTGGCCGGACAATATTGTTGAAAAATATATTGTGCAATATATTAGCAACTTAATGTTGTCTAAGCCTCCTCCAAAAATGAAAGCAGCCTAAAACTGACTCATAAAAGACAAGAAAAGCATTACAGGTTGAGCTGAGAGCCTCAAGAAAGTTACATGACGGATAGTAATTACATTTTTTTCTCTGTCTGCAGCATCCACTGATGAGCTTTGGATTGGACTGAATGACAAGCGGACAGAGGGCCTGTTTGACTGGAGTGACCACTCTACTGTCAGCTTTACTAGCTGGGAATATGGGAAACCATCTATCACCACTGGCCAAGAAGACTGTGTTCTCATCAGGGGACAGGTAAGGAGTAGGGTGTGGGTGTGGTTGTCCTGCTAGCATCTTATAAAAGCGTCATTATTTGTCCAATAATGAAAACTAATCCAGTATTTATCCAGCAAACTATGCAGCTACGTATCAAACTTTACTGCCGAGGACAACACATATGGAAGTGCATAGAAAGATGATCAGGATCGTTATCAGGCTTCTGCAGAGCTTGATGAGCTGATCATTTGAATCAGGTGTGTTGGAAGAGAGAAACATCTAAAACATGCAGGATTGTGGCCCTCGAGGACCAGGATTGCCCACCCCAGCGCTAGGCTCTTTAGTTCCTATCAAAGGAAAACTTGATGCTACAGCATATTATGATATTTTAGTTTGTTCCCAACTATGTAGCAACAGTCTTGGAGAGGCACTTTCCTGCTTCAACGCAAAAAATGCCTCTGCATGTAAAGCGAGGCTCAAAAGGCAAAGTTTTGAGTGTCACATTGAAGAACCTAACTGTCCAGTGCCTTGACCTCTGTCGCTCTGGATTGCATAATGCAAGTTGAGTCTTATCATCCAACATCATCACGCAGCGCTTAACATGGAAAGGTATGGACCTTACAAATTTAAACAGAGAACCCAACAATCCAAAGTTGACCTCACTAGTGTTCTTGTGGCTAAATGGGAACAAATTCTGCAATCAGGCTGAAATATGTTGTAGAAAACCTCCAGTAGACACAGTTTTATATTGAAATGATCAGCAATTGCAAATAAGTGTAAGATTTGTCTGTCTACATATTTTGGTCTGTTGGTATGTATGGTGGGCTTTTTGTGTGATGATTTACTTATTTATTGGAACATCCAGGTGCTACGTAGATGAACATTTTAGGACATTTCTGTCTTGCAGAATGGGAACTGGGCTGACCGCGTATGTACAGAGAAACATGGCTTCATTTGTATGAAGACGAGTGCCTCTGAACCCTCTGGAGATGAAGTGGAACAGAATATAGGCTGCAAAATGGTGTGTGAACATCTCATCTAACTTGTTAAAAGATGTCTGCCTGTAGTTAAAAATGTACTGCTCCCTAAGTTAAAGTGCTGTCAGAAAGATTTCACGTCGCTACTTTGATTGCCAATGCATGTCCACAGAAAAACTGAGAGTTGACTCCAAATTCTTAATTACATTTTGTTTCTGTTATGTTGTATAGCTATTAACAAGTGAATAAGTGCATCATAAACTTAAAAGTTAAGCAACTTGTGATGTTTGATACCTTTCACAAAACCTACTCCTGGCTGGCATGTAGTTTGAAATATTTTTAACAAACTGGGGATTAGAGAAATATTGAGTAAAAAAGTATACACACAGTACAATGAACAATAAAAATAGATGACTATTTAAATATTTATAGTGATGAGTAGGAAATGTCTTCTCATTAAGGGAAATGAAAACATACTGACTAAAGACAACTGTTACCAAACAAATGACAATGTGCAAAGTGAAGACATGATATGCTGTGTGTTAGGAAATAGTCACTGACTCTATCAAAACTCTGGTGATATCATACAATTTTACTTGTTGCCAAAAAAAATATGATACAATCATGTTAAAAGATTTTACAGCAACAAGCTAATGATATTTTTTGTTTCATTTTCAGGGTTGGAAGAAACACGGCTCGTACTGCTACTTTGTAGGAACTCAGACAAAGACGTTCGATGAAGCGAAAGATGACTGCAAGAGCTCAGACTCCTACCTGGCAGATGTTTCAACTGGGTAGAAACATTTCTTCTGACTCCTAACATTTTATAAGCATCCTAAACATTAGCATGCTGTATTTTATAGGTTCAGAAGTAATTCAGTCAACGAATTCATCCACTTTATGCCTCAGTCACTAAGAAATCCGAAGTGATGTGACTTGTGTAACTGTGTTTCCAGGGTGGATAATGCCTTCCTTGTGAGTTTGGTGGGGCTGAGATCAGAGAAGCACTTCTGGCTCGGGCTCTCAAATCAGAAGAACATTGATGTTTTTGTGTGGACCAACACAGACTCAGTAAAATTTACTCACTGGAACACTCAAATGCCAGGTACAGGAAAAACATACACTTCTCTTAATAAGATGTGTTTTAATATGGCTTCACAAATGACCACTGACAATTTCACCTTTGTCACTGCAAGGTCACCAACAGGGTTGTGTTGCTATGGCAACTGGAAGTTTTGCAGGCCTCTGGGATGTGTTGCCTTGTACCAATAAGGAGAAGTACATCTGCAAACACCTGGCAGAGGGGGCAGTTTTAACCCCTGTCCCGCCAACTGTTCCCTCCCTCAAGTGTGCAGATGGCTGGGACAGTTTGTACTCAAGAAACCAATGCTATAAGGTAAAATCCTTGCATGTGTACAAGGACAACACGTACACCTGCACTCATGATATTGACGCAAACAGTGGTACTGTGTGTAGTGTTTGTGTGTCCTCTACGCAGTTTGCACACCCACCTTAAAAACTGTTTGCACCACAATTAGTGTTAACTGAACGCCATGTTTTCATTCACCCCAAGGCAGATTATAAAAGTCACATGTTCCTCAAGGTTCAGTGAGCACCAGCTGGTTTTATATAAACATGTAGTCCATATAAACATACATCCAAGCACACAATAGTTTCATAAATACAGTGGTGTTGTACGACAGAGATCTCAGTTTATAATAAAAATATGGGAATGCTTACAGCGAAAGACAGCACAAGACAACACGAACAGGAAAATCCCGACAAAGCACAATGAGTCAAAACTCCTCCTGGTTGAAAGGAATCACATTAAAGCTGTTTCATTTACAGGAGCATGCATCCAGAACAAAATTTGACTGTGGATGTTTGGGTAACGCTGAAAATGTTGTCATGCCTAATTTTAGTCAATATTGATAATTATTGTTAATTTTAAACAACTGTTTTTAATCAAGACCAGGAGAAAAAAAGGTTTAATTTGATTTTACCCACCTGACTAGAATATAACTACTTTGGCATATTTACCAAGAAACATAGTTTTAATGAGACAATGAAAACCATTTACACATACATTTATTTATTTATTTTTTTAAATAGTTGAAGCTGGCATGCCGCCCTGAGGGTAAGATTCAGATTTGCTGGTCTGGACCTGGTATCACCAGACAGAGATCCTCCACCAGTCTCTGCATGCACCTGACATTAATTCTGTCAGCCCTCAGAGCAGCCAGGAATACATCACTTAGGTGGAGTAGGTGGTGGATATAGTGTCATGGATGTTTTTAAACTGTGAAACACGTCTCGCTCGGGTAATTGCTGGCAATGAAAATCAGCTAATATGAAGACACTGCCCCTTGGCCAAGACCAGCATGTAGTTTGGTCTCAATTTTCCTTTAGAAGCTGTATCAAGCTCAAAGAGACACTACCACACCTCAAATCACAGTTGGACCTCTTGAATTGTGTTTTAGCTGTATACTGGGTATTCAGAGACGAAGACCTGGTATGAGGCCCGAGATTACTGCAGAGCTATCGGAGGAGACCTGCTCAGCATCCACAGCGCTCTCGAGCTACGAATGCTTCCACATCGGTACGGTGGGACCTTATCTATTATTAGAGTTACACAAAAAGAAATTCTACTGTAAAATACAACTTGTTATACATCACACATTATCACTATTCACACACCACTGTCATCCATTTAAGACAGATTACTTCAGTTTTTCATTAAAAATTAAACAATGAACATAAATCTGTCCATTACAGCTATGAAACAGTCTGGATTGGATTTAGTGCCCCGGACCCAGTCACAGGTTATGTATGGAGTGATGGATCCCCAGTAAGTTCACAATTTTCTTTCTGTGACTGGTTTGCATTTTGTATAATCAAATTGTTTATGCAATTTAAATGATAAGAAATCAGTTTATGATTGTATGTTTTACTGTTTGCTTTTGTTTGCAGGTAAACTTCCAACACTGGGAGGATGGAGAGCCCAACAATAAAAACGGCATGGAATCTTGTGCTGAGCTAAAAGTCCACAGGCGGGAAAGAGCTGGGTCCTGGAACGATGCTCACTGTGAGAAGAACAACAACTGGATTTGCCAGATCCGTATAGGTAAAGCATGGCCATGTGGTTACATAATACTTCTGTTACATTTGTTTATGAATGTTACTAAAGAATTCAGGTTGTCTTTTTTGTGTGTGTTCCGGTGCTCAGAACTCTGATCACTCTGGTCACTTAAACACTGCGTTCAGAAATAAACGCCATGAATGAATTCTTTCTTTGCCCTTACAGGAGTCACTCCCAAGCCTCCTCCAGACCCCGTCCCTCCTGGTAAGTGACCATTATGTACAAGTACGTGACCACATAGACAGACATTATTGTTACAGGATTGAGTCCTCCTTGCTGCCCTCAGGCTTCACTGCTGACAGTTTGCATAGAAACTTCTTTCTACTTATGAAAGAGTTCTTTTAAAAGCTGTTAATTGTGGAGTCTGTGAACCACACTTACAATCTTTCCCTAATTTTAAACAAGTAGCAATGTGTCAGAAGTATGCCACTGTTGTAGATTCTGCAGGGTTGAACTACGAAACCAGCAGATACATCAGAGGGCTCATCACATGATTAATAGAGAAAAAAGAAGAAAAACAAGCTCTGACTCATGTTTTTGTTTCTTTGTTTGTTTGTTTGTTTGTTTGTTTTTGTGATTGGGACTTCTTTTCTGACATTAAAATTTTTGGCAAGACATCAGATCATTTTGACATTTATTGAAATGAAACTATGTGAAAAGTTTTGAGGAAAAAAATCACAAATAGTGGAACTGTTAACAACTCACAGACATCTGAAAGTGGGACTAGACACTGCTTTTGTTGGACATCAAAAGTCCAAAAAGTTGGAAACGGTTTAAAAACTTTTACTACCCACTGTGAAAAAGCTTAATTTTAAAAGAGCTGTTTGATAAATGTAGCGGAGTGGAGGGCTACAGTGTGATAAAATAGAAATACCAAAGTACAAGTGCTTCAGAAATGTGTACTTAAGTGCAGCTGAGCAAATGTACTTTCCACCACTACCAAGATGTGTTGCTAAACTTGTTGTTTAAGTACCTTGTTTCTAGTTTTTGTTAATTTTTTTTGCACACTTTTTGCATGTCTTTGAATGTAAAACAGCTGTCAGACTCTATCAAGAACACAAATACATAAAAGTCAGAATTTACATGTACATTGAAGATGCATTCCATTTTGCTGACACTTTTCCAGAGTATAACACGACCTCTGATGGATGGCTAATATGGAAAGGGAATCAGTATTACATAAACCACCACATGATGGCCATGGACCCAGCACGTCACTTCTGCCAGCAGAGACATGGTGACCTGGTAACTATCAACAGTGAAGCTGAAAGACTCTTTTTATGGAAACAGGTGAGCAGAGACATTTATACTCCACTAAAGCAATTACCAGTTACGCTAGTTGGTACACTAGCCATGGCATTTAAACTGAGCAAACTGTGTATATTGTTTGTTTTACCCTCTGTGCAGATATCCAGAATGTATGGGTCCTACTGGATAGGCCTGACTGTAGGTCTTGATCGATCATTTCAGTGAGTATGAAATAAATACAAACGAAAAAGGAAAATGAAAAAAAAATGAAATTGATAGAATACATAGGTCATGTCATCAGTTGAAATAAAACGTATCATTGGTTGGCCTTACAGACAGATTCAATCACTTTTTTTTTTTTTTGGCATCTTGGTTTTTTGCTCCAGAGTCAGGAGTTCAGTGATTTAGATGAATCATTCTTTCATGTCATATAGGTGCCTCATAGTTAAACACCCTACATTGTCAAAGTGAGTCTGACTGAGCCATGATCACGCAAAGACTATTTTAATGAAGTCTCTGCATCTGAGAGAAGTGGTTTCTTATTCTTGTCTACATTTTAGGAATCAATATGCCAATCTGGAGCTGCAGGTGACGGTTACAAAATTACCAATGAAGAATTTAAGAAAAATTCAGATTGTCCCGTCAGTTCATCTGGTTACTGCTGTGACTGACTTGAGGGTACCTGAAGCGCTGCTGTTGTCGTGTGAATACTTTGGGGATTACTCTTTCTGTTTGCATGTCTTTCCTGACTATGTTACTTGGACGTTACAGTGAAAACTAAACAGTCATGATGGAAATGAAACTAAAAATTGTGTTAAGGCTCTGATCTGATGAAAATGAGTTATATTATTAACAGTATAAACTATTAGCAGGGTTAATAGTTTAATAGACAAACACAAAACATTTAGAATTAAACCACTATGTCATTGTGCTGGTTATATTTTCACAAGGAGCGGTTTGTGACAAATTTGACTTAAGTTGCTTGTGTTTCATTGAGGTGGATGGATGGTTCTCAAGTGGTGTTTCAAAGCTGGGAAGACGGACAGCCTGATTTCAAGAATTTTGATGAGAACTGTGCTGCCATGTCCACTTCTGGTGAGTAAAATCAATCATGATTCACCTTATCAGACATACATTAGACACACATGAAACGAACCTGGACGATTTGGCAAACCCAGTGTTTACCACAGTACCAGCTAGTGGGGTTTAATCTTACAGCAAACACTCACTGAGCAACCACTTTGTCAGAAATACAAACAAAAGAGCAACTGGTATATCTGCTTTCGAGACAGTTTAATACCTGAGACAGCCTGCAACTTATACAACCTCAAACTGATTTTAAGGCTTCTGACATGATTTGAAGTGAAGTTAGCCTTGCAGATTCTTCATGTTGATCGATTTAAAAAATAAATAAATAAAAACTAACCACAGTGATCTAAAATTATGTAACTACATCTTCTCTCAAAGCTTAGTTATAACCTCTGAACTACATGTTTATTCTATACAGCCTATGTCAAATTTACAAGAAAACCTTCCATCAGTCAGAACAGACTATCTGTACTTTGCTAGTATAGTTACTGCATTAGAAGCTGCTTCTCTGTGTGCTGTGGGACTCTTCATTACTGCATTCAGTATATGGAAAAGACAACTATAAGTAGGCAGCTAGCCTACTAGGCTAAACACAGTGGAGAAGTAACACCTGAATGTAAATACACTGAATGGCTCATGAAAAAAGTCTGCCCATAACTAGAGTGAAAAACAAATTCAGTTTCATCAAAATCTTCAGAAATATAGCTTTGATCCATGTTTGATACTATATCAAAATGCTGATTGTGTTGGTTGTTGATTTTCATATCTTGGTCTCATCCACAGGGTTGTGGCACGATTACAACTGTGGGTTTGAGCACAACTCCATTTGTAAGCGCAGTGACTCATTACCGGCTAACACCACCGTGGCACCCACAGAGCCTCCTAAAGGTGGCTGCCCAGTCTCCTGGAAAAAATTCCACTCCAAGGTCAGATGTCAGTTTTAACAATGAGTGTTGAAGGGATGGGAGGAGATGGATTGAAGAACACAGCTGAAATGAAATATTTAAATATCTTTTAAATATTGATCTTGTGGTAGCTTTCTATCTAACGCTCTGTTTTGTAATTTGAGGTTTTACGTGAAGATATTTTGTCATGTGAAGCTGACATGCCTGTTTTCAGCACACGTTTGGAGGATTGTAAATTAACTTATGACGTCTCAACTCCAGTGTTACAACATCATCAACAACCAGAATTTAACGTGGGAAGGAGCGAGGCAAAAATGCCAACAAATGGGTGGAAACTTGGCCTCTATTTCCTCAAGACATGTGCAAGGTTTGTTTCATCCCCTAGTTTCAGGTCTACTGGTTAAATTTCTCCACTGTTACAACTTGCCATAGCATACTGTAGAGTGTTTTACAGCTGCACTCACTAGAGGTGATGTGCTTCAGCTGCCTCCAAGTGACGAGGGATGGGTGTAGACAGAGACTTCATAGATCAGCACATTCTAGAGGAATCAATGGTGTACAGTTATCTTCATGCCATTTTAAGGCAAGAAGGGACTATTATGGAAAAACGTCCACTATGGTTTCTTCTTTGGGGTTTAATCAATGACCAGAGAGGGACTTGAAAACACATAAATGACAAATAAAAAAGCCCGACTTGGCCGAACTTGAGTTAAACTGGTTTGAACAAGTTAAATGTTGTCACCACTGCGGGGGTTATGTGCTCGCACTTCTTTCTGTTGTTGTGCAGTTATAGTAGATCTACGTCTACTACAGTGTATAACCTCCAGCTCCATGCAAATATGTGAACCGTAAATCATTTTTTTAAATTTCAGTGTTTTTGATGTCTCAAATGGCTGATGCACCTACAACAGACCTGTGGATTGGTTTTCATAATTTACATCATGGTCAATTTGTTTGGACTGATGGCCGACAAAATTCATATACCAACTTGGGTTTTCAGGTAAGTACACAATTATGCTTTAAGATGCGAAATGGCTGAATTGTCCTGCTTTGCTGATAATTTGTGTTGTGATCTTTGTTTCTCCATTGTAGGAACATGACCCGTTTAACTTTTACCGAAGGCACCGGGTAACATTTAACTGTCTAACATTTTACAGTTTAATGTCACTGCAGACATAGTTGTGCATAAAAGCAAAGCATGCATCAAGTTGATTCAGTCAATACTATTATTACTGTTTTTAAGAGTGTAAAACATTTGCTTTGTTCATAACCATATATCTGGTTATTTACATTTAAAATTTCCTTTTTCACTGCAGATTTTCCTTGACTATGGACATAGATGGATGAGACATCATTGGTTCTTCCATGAGCTACATGAGGTAAATCTAAAAAGCTTGATTGAAGGGTACATGAGACTTATCCTATGGTATAGAGATATGGGAGACATTGTCTCCCAGTTATTAGAATATGTTTTATATATATATATAGATACATATATACATACCATGTAAAATGCCATGAGATGACATATCTTGTGAGTGACTTTATAATCTGACTACCACACTCCCTGAATTATTGTAATAATCATACCGGATATGGGAAAAGGAAAAAATGGAACAGAGTGAGTGATCTTCAATCAACTTGTAGATTTATTGTATGCCACAGAGTAGCCTACAACAAACTGAACTGGTTGTCACTGAAAGCATTAACATAAATAAGATTCTTTATTTTGCTGAACCATATGGTATTTTCTTAGAAACACATAATTAGCATAGTTTATTAGTGTGGTTTTCACTCTTTGAAATAATCCCCATCATTGTATTTTAGCTTCTTTGATTGTATACTTCAGCATATCTATTAAATGTATGTAAACATATAGTTAGAAATAACCTGCTTGGACATACACTTGATTACATTTTCTGACAGTTTTTTAAGTAAGTGAAAGCACTGACTTGAACAACTACGTGTGGACATTCACTTCATAGGTTAAGAGACTTGTTGGGTTTGTTAACTTGGTCCATAATAAATATTTGAGGCAACTCATGCATTTTTACAACCGACCTCAAGCAGTGAGGTACAAATAGACAATGCTTTAGTTAAAAATGTTGAAGGTGTTGTGTAGCAGACCCTTACACTAAACATAACACTACGGAATTTCTTCAGAGAATTTTGAACTGAATTCATATCTGCAGACTGTTAATACTAAACTGTTCTCGGCGTACATACAGTCCTGAAAGCTTCTGGCAAGCTTCTGGTGGAATCTTTGACCACTCGTTTGACAGAATTGGTGTAGTTCAACTAAATTCGCTTTCTGACACAGACTTGTTTCTTCATCACAGTCAGTAGGTTCTTGATGAGGATTAAGTCAGGACTTTGGGGGTACTAGTCTAAAACCTTTTTTCTTGTCTGATTTAACTATTTCTTTATCACTTTTGATGTGTGTTTGTGCTTATTGTCTTACTGGAACACCCAACTGCATCCAAGACCAACCTTGTGGCTGTAGATTTGAGGTTTTACTGAAGAATGTGGAGGCAATCCTCCTATTTGCCATCCTATTCCATCTACTTTGTGTAAAGCACCAGTCCCCTGGCAGAAAAACAGTCCCAGAGCATAATACTGCCACCACCATGCTTGATGGTAGATTTGTTGTTCCTGGGGTTGGCGGCCTCACCTTCTCTCCTCCAAACATATTTCTGGCCATTTCAGTCAAACAGCTCCATATATGCTCAATTTAAACATTACATTTTTCTTGCGAAAAAAAGCCTTTTTTTTAGTCCATGTGACCAGCAGCACACTCCAAGGGACTTTCAATAGTTTGTGTTTTCAGATCTGTATTCAACTCCTTAGACTTTCCCACTTTGGCCTCTTTGACTGAGTCTAATGAGTGTCACAAACAGGCCCTATTTAAATTGGCTCAAAGAAGTCAGCCACTGTAGTCAGTCATAATCAGTCATTATCAGTCAGTTAAGAGGCCATGGCAGTAACAAAATTTGATTAACACAGCTTTCTACATCACCAAAACTGATCATTTAAGTTGCTGTGTATATATTTTTAAACCATTTTTCTAAAAGGCTACCAATATCGATGAAAGAACCAAAATAAATGATAGTTTTTTGTGACAAAGACACGTGAGAGCTGTAGGACTCATTTGAAACTGAAGGCTGCCACAATATGCACGGTCTTTACAGGAGTATGTAAACCTATTCTTAATGGCAAAACTTTGTAAAACTTCTTTTTCCATGGGATCAAAGGCTTTCAGTGAACAAGAACATGCTATTATTGCCATTATAATCATCCTGTATGTTCCTAACTACCAAGACTCTTGTTTTCCTCGTTAACCTCAATCTTTGTTTCAACAGAACAACTGTGCTGTGATCAATACCAGGCCTTCGCTTGGTATTGGTAAATGGATAACAAAGTCCTGCAATGACACAAATGGTTTTATCTGTCTTCAAAATCTTGGTGAGCCTTTTTCCACCCAGGAGAGTTGGTGGCATACCAACGGTTTTTAAAATCAATCTGTAATTGCTAATCAGCTAATCTAATAGCTGTGTTACTGAATCTGTCACTAACCCATTTCAGTGGAGCCCAGTTAGACTCCCTCTGGCTTGCTTGCTCTCTGTCTTCCCAAAATATGATAAAACCTCTAGAAATTATGTGAACTAAGGCATAAAATTATTTAAAAACTGTATTTTCATTGGTATGAAATACTGTCTGTAACACTAATCATGCTGATAGTAAGTTGCTGTGAGTGTTCTCAGTTCTGCAATCAGTAATTTCCAAAGATGAAGACTGTGATTAAATTTGCATTGTAACTATAACATTTCCAAATTACTGTACAGTGTTTTAAAATTTTCAGATATATATTTTTTTCTTTCTCATCCTAAACAGTCCCATCTCTTCCGGACTCCCCTGAACCAACAGCTCCTACCACCTACGTCAAAATACTTAATGACTCTGCCAAGGCTGTTCCTCAGCAAATGAACTGGGAGGCAGCAAAAAAGAACTGTGAAGGTGATGACGCCAACCTTGCTAGCCTGCGAAATGAGTGGATGCAGGCGTATGTTGAGTTGCTGGCTGTGACTCTGAAGGCCCCTGTGTGGATTGGACTCAGCAAAGTGCAGGTATCGTTGTGAAAACCTCCAAAAAAACCAAAAAGAAAGGTTTGTTTGCAAGTACTGACTGCTGTAGAAAGTCCTAACAAAGTAATTGTTACTTTAGGCTACACTGCCCAATTCCAAATAATATTATAAATAACAATAATACCAGGCCACATGTTTTTTTTTAAAATTAAGGCAATAGCACAATTACAGAATTAGAAAAGCTTGCCAGAATTATTCCAAGTCATTTTGGGGAACAGGTATATTTGGGCAAAATACCACGGATATACTGGTTGATCAGTATCACTGGTCTATATTAGCCTGTTACTGAAACTTTCTTTTAAAGACGCTGAAAAAGATGCTCAGGGTACTTTAGAAACAGTGTCATCACATAGTTTGTCCTGCTCAACCTCCATTGTCTGCAGTGCTTTCATTCCTGTGTGCAGCACATGTATCGAATGCTCCTCACTCGTTACTATGATGATCTCTAAAAAACAAATGGTTAAACAATAACACTAAGTCCATTCTATTTATTCTGTTCTTTTTAGACCAATGGTTATTTCAAATTTGTTGATGGCTGGCATGTAACACTTTCTCACTGGGGTCAAAATGAACCGAGCACACACCGAGCTTGCGTCTACATGGATGTGGATGGAAAATGGAAAACCGCTAACTGCAATCAGACCATGAGCAGTGTTTGCATGAAGTCCACAGGTACAACCACAAACAGGCTAATGTTCATTTTTTTAAAAAATGGATACGTAACTCATCCTATATGCCATCATGTCTCAACTTTAAGTTATTACAGTGAAAACACTGGGTCATACCCTGACTTATTTGTTCGGATCATTGCTTTAATATAAGATGTGATTCCAAAATGTACATTATATGGATTGAACACTTTTGTTTGCATATTTGTAGATGCTACATAGGGTTGTTTTGTTGTTGTTGTTTGCAATATTGCGCAATAGTTGAAATGCTTTTAATAGACTAGATTTTAAAGTATACAAATATTTAATTAATTGATCCCAGTGTCATCGCTGTCTCTTATTCACAGATGTGCCACCACCAGAACCAACAGGTTTTCCAGGAATTTGCCCTGAAGACCCAGATTTAACATATGGGCTACAAAAATATTTTTGGAAACCATTTAGGGAATACTGCTATATATTTTTCACAGAATCAGAAAGGTGGGCAAATGCAGCAGCTAGCTGTGTAAGACATGGTAAGTGCTTACTTTGACAGATGGTTTTAGACAATAACATCTTGTAGTTTTTATTTACAAATCCTTTCTCATCTTGTGAAGGTGGAATGCTTGCCAGCATTGAAGATTCCTTTGAACAAGACTTCATTGCAAGAAATGTGAAGACATTTCATGACAGCTACACATCTTTTTGGATGGGTCTGTTTAAAAATACCAAAGGTACATGCACACTGTCTACTATCAGAAAAAGAGAAACATTGGACAATTAATGATAATGATATATTCATGTGAAGTTGTTTTTGTAAATAATGCTTTGATTTTAAAATCATTTGTTTTTCACTCATTCATAATTTATTTTCATTGTACACAAGTGGGGCTGCTTTCTATGTTATAGCACAAGCACATCACTTATTTGTCTACTTGTCTCCAGAGGAGTGGCTGTGGTTGGACAGGACAGTCATGGATTACACGAACTGGAGAGAGGAGCAATTCGACTCCAATTATGGAGAGATTAGCACATCAGATGGGACATGGAAGGCAGACCATGGGTTCTATGAAAGACCATACATCTGCAAAACACCAAAGGGTAAAACAATCCTTTTTCACTCAATTTGAACTGTAACAATATCTCTTCATAGTGCTAAGATCAAACAATACAAATTATTTTGTCTTTTGAGATCACTGATTGTGACAGATTTTGCAATTGCAGTTATTCACTTTGCCAGCTGAAGCTAGTGGCACAATTTGGGGAGGGCAAACAAACTGTAACTTCCACTGTCAATAATGTGGGATCACAAAGCAGACAGGTGATATAACTATATACCACACGGTGGTGGACTGCAGAGCCTCTGCTTAG